TATATCGCCATACCATTCTCATCCACAACCAGGTATAGCCCATCTCCCCCTGCGGAGAATATGTAGTGTTGCAGTGGCGTGGGACGGTAGTCAGTGTATACCACATGGCACGGTTGTTTGTGCAGTTGGCAGATCCATCTGGCAAACTCAATTGCATTGGGGATCGTAGCGGATAAGAAAACATGATGGATGTTATCTGTGGGTTGGGGTTTTGGGTTTAAGCGGAGAGTATGAGGGGACAAGGCCATATCAGTACTCACTCAAGGTGTCGTAAAGTTTTGATGGTTTGTTGTAATACGTTGAAAATGTTAAGAAAACAGATGATATGTGTTTGTATGAGGGTCACAAGCTGACATTCGCATACAGACGCTGTGGTACGTATTAACGGATACCACACCTAAGTAAATTCAGTGTCCAGCATCACTATATATATATACAAAGGTCTTGAAAGATACTATATCCCGCAGATACGTACGAATCAACGGATACGTACGTATTAAAGGATACCATGCCTGGTAGTATAGTTCAGCGTCCAGCATCACTGTATGAATGCACAAGCCACGAATGATACTATAACCTGCATATACGTACGTATTAACGGATATGTACGTACTACCTAATACGCACGTTTTAACGGATACCATACCTGGTAGTAAAATCAGCGTCTCCTCCCAGACCACTCCACGTTCTCTGTCTCTCATGTAGTGCACCTCATCAAACACCACCCAACCGTCTCTCGCATAACCTCCTATTCTAGGTATTATTTAGTTAAGAATTAGTAATGATCCTATGAATTCGTTGGGAATTAGTGTTGTGAATAATGTGGCGGATTAGTGTGGTGTATTAGTTTGGCGTAGGTTTGTTGCGTAAGCGTGAGACAGACACATTAATATATACTTGATCTACGCATGATCCTGTGTATTAGTCGAGTAATAGTGTTGTGAATAGCGTGGCGGATTAGTGATGTGTATTAGTTTTGCGTATGTGCGTGGAACAACATTAATATATATACTTGATCTACGAACTCAATAGCACTCAATATGTACAAATAGATAGTCAAGACATATACACGCGTACACCTCTGCACAACATTGACCCCAGAATATATAGACAACGTGCA